AGGCATAGATACCAGTACATGGAGCAGCCTGAGAGCTGTCAGAGGGGAGGGAAGGCGGGGGATTGGATTAAAGAAGGTGAAAGAATTAGTCAAAGAACATATATACATAACCCATGGACACAGACATCAGTGTGCTGATGACCAGAGGGAAGAGAGGGTAGCGACTGGGTGTGGAGGTGGGCAAAGAGAGGGGAAATGGGAACATCTGTAATACTATAATCAATAAAAATAAAGGGGGGGAAATCAGTGGAGATTTTTATAGCTTACTTAAATTCCTTTGAAAAATGTGACCGGATTTAACCTGAAATGTTATTGTTTTCACTAAGATTATATTATGGGTATTAAAATTATGGCTTTTTAAGATTCTTTTTAAATTTTCAAAATTTACTCAATTAATGCACATCACTTTTTAACAGAAAGAAAACCCCATTAAGTTATTGAAGTTTTCTTACTTTCCGCTTTGATATATGTATATTTGAAAATGTCTTTTCACATATCCAGGGGTGAGCAAAAGTAGGTTTATAGTTATAATGCAAACAAATAATAATTGGTAAATAACAATACAAGAAAAAAACTCTGTGTTTCGCGTACTCACGGCTATAAACCGACTTTTGCCAACCCCATCGGGGTGAGCAAAAGTAGGTTTATAGTTATAATACAAACAAATAATAATTTGTAAATAACAATACAAGAAAAAAACTCTGTTTCGCGTACTCGCGGCTATAAACCTACTTTTGCCAACCCCTATATGTTTACTTGCATGTGTTAGCTCTCGTAACCCTAAACAAAAATCGACCCTTGGTCACTTGATCGCCTTCTTATTTGTTAATCGAAAAGAAAATATGCATTGGAACCAACCTTGACCCGTCCATTTATCTACAGGATGGCTTCACGCCGTTGGCAGTGGCTTTGCAACAAGGTCACGATCAAGTGGTGTCCCTCCTGCTAGAAAATGACACTAAAGGGAAAGTGCGGCTTCCGGCTCTTCACATCGCCGCCCGAAAGGATGACACGAAAGCTGCCGCCCTGCTGCTGCAGAATGACCACAACGCAGACGTGGAGTCCAAGGTGAGACGCCGGGGAAGCTCCTCTCCTGCAGCCATCCTGCGTAGGCGCCCCAACTTTCAGATGCTTGGCCTCCCTTTCGGCAAGCTGCTGCCAGACTTGCAACTCCACTGGCAGGGATAAAAAAAAACAGCACGTGTCCCAGTCAGCCAGTGGAAGCACCTTCCCCGCACCCCTTAAAGCTAGGAAGTCACCCTGGATGCTGCACTACGCATGCTAACAGGGAGGCCCCCTCAAAATCGATGTATATGAACCTGATCGTTTCCTCCCTCGTAATAGATCCGTAATGTCCTTAACTCTTCAGCGCAAACATCAGAGTGAAAGGTTACAAAATGCTAACAACAGTGTGTGCAGATCATCCTGTGGTTGCTAGCTAAGATGGCAGGGGACACACTGAGTGTTGGCCACCTGCGGAGAGCGTGCCAGCAGCCAGAGTCCTGGCCAGAAATTCCCGTTGTCCTGGCATGTATTCCTGGAGAGTCTTGGAAGGAGCGAGGCATTTGGAGTAGGCCACCGCGTAGCCTTCCTTCAGTCTAGCTTTCTTTCTGTGCTTTTGTGCTTCCATCAGAGCTTTCATCCTCACTCCTTAGCTGCCGTGAGCTTCCTGCAGTCCACGTCACCGACAGCGAACTAACCGTTCATTTTTTCCTCCTCTTTGCTTCCCAATGTGTTACCCTAGATGGTGGTGAATAGAACAACAGAGGTACATATCTATATACATGTACATAGAATCTGTATCTGCATCATCGTGTCCCCATCCCTTAGTGCTGCGGCCTCATTTCTTTCCCTTCTTCTTTGCATTGCCTTCTGTAGGCTAGATACCTGCTTTCTACCCCCCGCCCCCAAAGTAGCATGTGCTAGAGAAGATAGTAGTTTGGTTACCAGGGCTTTCTGCAGCTGAACCCGGTGATTGAAAGGAAGAATGAGGAATCCTTGAATCTTAAGGGGATTGCCATAGAGGTGTGTGAGATGAAGCATTTCCAACACTTGAGATGCTTACCAGCTCTACCCAAAGCTGCAGACAACCCTGCCGTTCTCTCCTCTAGGACGGATTCTGTAGAGTTCTGCATGACACTTACCCGCAGTGGTGTCAGCAAAATGAAAGTGGCCTCAGAATGGTACCACTATGACCCACCCTTCCACAGGAGTCAGTGAGCTAGCTAGCATGGCTGCGAAGCTTGCTAACAATTTAGAAATGCATCTAGTTCCTATAAGGTTTCAATCTTTGGGGACTAAGTGAATCGCTGCATGTTTTAGCATTTTTTTTTAAGGAAGTAAAATGACCTTGGTAGGAATAATCCAGAAAAATGTGTTCTCGAATAGGCATTTGCTAATAAAGAGACCAACCGGTGGATTCTTTCTAGAATTCAGTCACCCACTATACAAGACCAATTACAGTGCACCTCTTCCCCAAAATTGCTTTTATCTTTATAATTTGATCTTACATTAAATACAGAAAACAAATCAAATTTTGGCAAAGAGTATCAATGGACAATTCTGCCATCAATCGTAAAACAGTTGGTACTAACTGAACTTTCTATGAGCTATAAGGCTTTTTCTTGTCATCCCGATTTTAACTTTTGAAACGTTGGCTTCTCTATGTACTGCTACCAGATTCCTAAAACTGCTCAATCTCCGCCCTTGGATCCTTCCCGGCTCTCCCTCTGCCTACGAGTCTGGCGTTTATTTGAAACCCTGTGAGCAATTGGCACTAACCGAAAGAAACCTAGTACAGAATGGAATGCAGACCTCAGCATATTTTGCTTCCTCCTTTTTATTTGGGCGGGGCCTTGATCCTGGCATGTCAGACTGGGGCCGGCAGGACTCCCCTGAACGTCTGCCGTTTTCTCCTTGCAGAGTGGCTTCACTCCGCTCCACATAGCGGCTCACTATGGAAACATCAATGTAGCCACGTTGCTGTTAAACCGAGCGGCCGCCGTGGACTTCACTGCAAGGGTAAGAGCGCTGCCCTGGGCGCGCCTTTAAAGCATTTGAAGTGATTCTTAACCTTCCTTTCCCAGCATGAGCCGGAGGTGGAGGCAGGCGGCCTAGCTTTGAAACAGGTGTGGTATTTCCTAGCAGAAAAAATAAACCAAGATGGGGTTGAGGGGTGATAAATACATGTACGCGAATATATGGGAGATGGGGTTCAAGTAATCCTGACTGGAAACCACCAGCAACCTTTCCGCAAGTTGAAATGTCTGAGGCTGGTAGAAATTGGTCACATGCAGCCACCGGGGCTTTCGGTATCAGCATCTTGACCTTCTGGTTGGGAATGCTCTGGGATCTCTGGATGAGGCCCACACCCTCCTGAGAGGTAGAACTGAAGAAGGAAGCAGATTGGAGCAGCGGCTAAAAGCGTGGCCTCGGAATTCAGTCTCCCTGAGTTCAAATTTGGGCTTTAATTTTCCTCTCTCTGTCCACCAGTTTCCTCCTTTGTAAGATAAAAGAATATGAATTATGATGTTATATGATAATAAAATATTAGTATCACTCCCCCAGTGGGTCACTGTGAGAATTGGGAACAGAGAGTGTGTGTAAAGCACTTGGCCATGTCTGACATGTCACCATCGACAGCAGCAGCAGCACTGATTTTGAACATCACATTTGAAGTATTCGTTTTGCTGAAACCTCACTTGGTCGAGGAGAAACGGCGTTAGATCACATAGGGAGATATAGGGCATAATACTAGTACTAGCAGTATCAGCAGCAGTAAACGTAATACTGCCTTGGAAGGAGTTACTGGGTGCAGATGCCCAGCTAAGCATTTTTGCCTCGTTTATTCTTATATCCAGAAAAGTATTACTTATCCCTATTTTACAGAAGAGGAAACCAAGGCTTAGAGATAAGAAGTAGCTGGTCCAGGATGACAGCTCGAAAATGAGAAAAGGCAGGATTTCAGCCCCCAAACACTTACTCGCTCCCGTGTTTCGTCTCCCATAGGTGACTTTCGGGATTCTTTTTTCTTTTTCTTCTTACAATTTATTAGTCCAATAAAAATTAGTAAGAGCTCAGCTTGCACTCATATGAAAGCTATTTCCTACCCTATCGCCATCAGCTTGCCACGAGCCTTCCTGGTTTCAGTGACTCGGGAGTGCCCGTCAGCTCATGCCGCTCTGTTCTTCCTGCATCCGCTGCATCCTTAGGCTTCAGCGACAGGCAGACCTGAGGGCTAGTTTGACGTTTCGAAGGACAAAGTTAGGCACCTCTTTAAGTCAAGTAAAAAGCAGGCATGTCAATATTTAAACTGAGGTTCTTGTCTGTAAGATGCATTGCTCTGGTTTTATTTCTGTAATTCACAGCATGATGAGAACCTCATTAAGTCACATCTTCTAATTGGGACATTTGGAAAATCATGTCAGGGTAGTGTCTGAAGTTTGTCTGTGTGCCACTGGTTCGGAAATGTCCTGACGCTGCAGAAAATAAGAAGAACGGAACAATGTTTAAGCAACATAAGGGGGCAAATTACAGTATTTTCAGCATCAAAGCAATTCCAGAGCATCCATTTACATTGAAACAATGATGTGGTAATTACAAATGATGCTAATGTATCGAGTAAACATCAATGGAGACCTCAGACGAATGTTGTTAAAGTTGCCTGAGTTTCCATATAAGATTTAAAATAATCACATTCTGGTTTTGTTTAAAACATGTTAAAGTTCAGACTTGTGACTGGTTTGAAAAGCATTTGGTCCAGTCATGCCTAATCAGTGAGGCCTAATAGCGCTCTGAGCTGAAGAATGTGGTAGAATTCGATCACCCCTCATAGGCTGCCTGCTCTGTGCTTCCCTCTGTGCTTGGTGATGGATGGCTTGCTTCAGAGTATCGGGAAGAACTGGTCTTTGTAAAGAGCGTGAGAAACCCATTTTGGTTCCAAATCTCTAGTAATTCTATTTCATAATAATCCAGCATCTATAGGGTCTGGATTAATATTTTTATTAATCTCCTTTTGGGCATCATCCCGGTTAATCACTCTACTACTTGCTCCGTTCAGACCCTAGCCATGTGATGCCCAGCTCACATCATTATTTTTCGGTGGCATTATTAACTTCGTTTTTCAAGTGGTCCATTTTCTCCAAATCGGATTTTATTACCCTCCTCTTGCTTTATCTTTTCCATCTTCTTTCTCCCCCAATACTTTGAAGTATAACTGGGCTAGTTGGGTCCTATTCCAGGTCACCACCCTCAGGAATGTAACAGAAAAGCAGGTGGAAAGGTAAGATGCCCTGAACACAGATGAGATCAGATTTTACCTGGCCAGGCCACGGAGGATCTTTAAGCTATATTTGCTAAGAACTGGCTGCAAGTCATGGGCTTCGGGAACCAGGTGTAGATAGAGATACTGATTAAATGGTTAGAGAGAAAGCCAACAACAAAGCTACCTTTGTCTGAGGGGCTGTGATTTCTGTTCCCTGGCTGTGACAGATATTGAAGAGGGGCAGGTGCTGTCTTGTAGTTCTTTGTGGGTGGACGGCAAACTGCAGCTCTCAAGCCACATGCAGCTCTTTGGCCCCTTGAGTGTGGCTACGAAGTTTTAATCGCACTGTACGTGCGCGCCCGCACATGGTATTTTGTGGAAGAGCCACACTCTAGAGGCCACAGTTTGCTGACCACTGGCCTAGGGAATGGCTGTCCGCTAGCAAAGAGAGCTGGAGGACATGGGCAAGGCCACCAGTTGTGAAGTAATTTCCTGCAAGCAATGGGTATGCATTTCCAAAGCAGACACAAGGCAGAAATAAACACAGTGTGACTAAAGGGAGTATGCAATAAATCAGATTGCTTTCTATGCATTTTTGCAGGATTAGCTAATTTATGCAGCAATAAAGCAGATCCTAGCCTAGGGGTGGGCAAACTTTTTGACTCGAGGGCCACAATGGGTTCTTAAACTGGACCGGAGGGCCGGAACAAAAGCATGGATGGAGTGTTTGTGTGAACTAATATAAATTCAAAGTAAACATCATTACATAAAAGGGTACGGTCTTTTCTTTTTTTTTTAGTTTTATTCATTTCAAACGGGGCCAGATCCAGCCCGCGGGCCGTAGTTTGCCCATGGCTGTCCTAGCCTATGAAGAAAGTATACCCCTGCATAGCAATTATGGTAACCGATTTATGCCAAATGGACCTGTTTATCAACACCTTTCCTTAGATTTTTATTATGATGTCAGTTTTGATTTTTTTTGTTGTAATTTTCCTAGGTACATGTAAGCTATCCTGTCTGCTATTTTCTATATTTCCTTCTGGGTTATCCGTGAAGACCTGCTCAGCCTCACGGGTCCGCTGCAGGGAGATAATGGAGAAGCTACTGCATGCTGCCATGCAGCATCAGCATTCTTCATTCTTTGAATTGAGTCTGCGGAGGTGGCGTTGACACTGTCTGAATTTATGGGTGACCCTTGCTCTCGACAAATCATTCTAACTCTCTTGGGAAGAGAGGGTAACCAAGGCACAGCAGAGCCGCTGCTGATTATCATTCCAGGAAGGAGCGTTTGTGCACTGGAGCAACTGAAGGCAAATTATATTATGTGGATGCTTGCAAGTCCCTTTTATTGATTGAGGACGAGAGATTGATATCTTGCTGGCTAAGAGTTTTTTTCATCAAATATAATGGACCACCTAACTTAATCTTCACACTTGTCATTGACCTTCCTCTTGTAAAGTATTATTCAACTTCCCATTTGGGGAAGGTAATTGAATTTTTAAATTCTTCTGTTGGCCTTGTTTATTTAGCACTTTTTGGTTTGAGTGCTATACCTCATTTGTTTCCAAAAGGACTTCAGGTAGTGCACAGGTTAAAATATACAAAGTAGGACATGTAAGAATGAAAGCGAAAAAGTGTTTGTTACCAGCCGCTGGAATAAACCAGTGAATACAGCTAGAGAATAAATTTAGGTCTTAGGGACGTTGGTATATGTAATGGAAAGAGAATCATATTAGTTTTTTGGGGGGGCAGGGGAGGAAAACATGGTTATCTATAAAGACAATTTTGTGTGTGTGAAATAACTAAAATATGATTTTTATTATGTGAATTACATAGTTGACAGTATCTTTAATTACTGCACTTCAGAAGGATCAGTTCTTACTGCCTCGTCCTTTTAATGCTAAATCTCCACCTGTGAAGGCCCCTTGCCGAGGGCGGCTGAGAGATTGAGCTAGGTCAGTGGTTCTCAACCTTCCTAATGCCGCGATCCTTTAATGCAGTTCCTCATGTTGTGGTGACCCCCAATTTCATTGTTACAAATTGAACATAATTAAAGCATAGTGGTTAATCACTAAAACAATATGTAATTATACATGTGTTTTCCGATGGTCTTAGGCGACCCCTGTGAAACCGCTGACCTAGGTGCTTTATGATGTTTTAATTGTGTGCGATAGAACTTGGCGGTGACTACATGGCATGTCCATTGGACTGCCTTTTTCAGGTACCAGATGTCTTAAATGAAGTTTTGGCAGGTGCTGGGCCACATTCAGAATTCAATTAAATTACACAAAAGTTTATTTATTAAATAGTAATTTAATGTTATTTTAAAATGAGAAATAAATAAATAAAATGAGAGCAGTGTTTTTAGATAGTTTTAACTACTAAGCCTGTTGGTGGAAAAATAAGTGTCAGACGTACGTTCTGCCCAAAGAAGAGGCCAGTATGGTTCAGCATGTGCGTGAGCAAAACAGGAACCAGGGATAGACAATATTTGGAGATTTCCTTTTTTTTTTTAATTTAAATTGTTTATTGTTTAAAGTATTACTTGTGTCTCCTTTTCCCCTCATTGACCTCTCCCTGGCCACTCCCACTCCCCAGCACATGCCCTCACAACTCCCAACTGTGTGTTGGAGATTTCCTTTTTAAGATTAAATTAAAACTAGCAAATAAGCTTCTATTATGAGCTAGACCTGGAGGTTCAAATTTGAGTGACCTGCTGTTCATACTCTACTAATTTCTTTCATCTCTAAAGTCAACA